ATTGCTCTCCCGGTGCATAGAGTGAGGGATGCAGCTGTCGTGTGTATGTAAATAAACATGTATAAATTTCATGTACATATGTATAAATATTTGCGGCTGTAAAAGCGAGTGAGCAGGGGGGTAGTGAAATGCGGGTAAAATGACCGCAGAGTTTATCGCTTTGAATATTAATTTGCGCGGTATTGTGTCAAAAAAATGGGTTGTAATGTCTGCATGTTTAAAGCCAGAGTGTAGGCTGTATGGAGAAGGTTTACTATAGTGCAATCTTAGGTATCAAGAAATGGTAGTGATGATGATAACAGTGATAGTAAGGATGATGAAGAGGATAATGATAATTACAATGATATGATGATAACGATAACTACAATGACAATAAAGAGAATGATGATCGCAACATTACATTATGAAAGCCTTATTATTACTACTCCGATTGTTATAATCATTAGCATCATAATTATGTGCTGTTAATCTTATCACTTTTATCATTACTATTATCAACATCATTATTGTCATTATCACTATACGACAGGCCTTTTTCTCCTATATGCGCTCTCGAAGGCTTGCTTGAAAGAACAAAGGTTATTTGCAATCAAAATTATGATGCTAATTTTGGTGTGCTTATTTGCTAAGGCTGTCTCCGGCTCACACTTCACAAAATAGCAAAAGTTTGGGTCGAGTTTGGCCTGCCTCTCTCTCTCTCTCTCTCTCTCTCTCTCTCTCTCTCTCTCTCTCTCTCTCTCTCTCTCTCTCTCTCTCTCTCTCTCTCTCTCTCTCTCTCTCCCCCTCTCCCTCTACTTCGCTCTCCCTCACCCTCGCTTTCGCTCTCCTTCCCTCTCCCTCTCCCTCTCCTTCCCTCTCCCTCTCCCTCGCTTTCGCTCTCCTTCCCTCTCCTTCTCCCTCTCCCTCTCCCTCGCTTTCGCTCTCCTTCCCTCTCCTTCTCCCTCTCCCTCTCCCTCGCTTTCGCTCTCCTTCCCTCTCCTTCTCCCTCTCCCTCTCCCTCGCTTTCGCTCTCCTTCCCTCTCCTTCTCCCTCTCCCTCTCCCTCGCTTTCGCTCTCCTTCCCTCTCCTTCTCCCTCTCCCTCTCCCTCGCTTTCGCTCTCCAACAGGCGGGAAGAATATCCCCTTAGAAACTTTTGCTGTTATTATCGCCCTCTCATCAGGCTTCCATATGTCGCACGAAACGGTCTGTGAGAAGGAGGTAATGAATGGAGGGGGGGGGAGATCGAAGGGGGGGGAGAGAAGGCTGAGGTAAAGGGGGGTGAGATAGGGAGATTTAGGTAAGGGAGATCAGGGTTAGGGTAAGGGCAAGAGGGAAGAGGTAGGGAGAATAAGGTAAGAAGGAATAGAGGTAAGGAAGGGATGAAAGGGGTAATAGGTAGGGAGGTTTGGGTAAGAGGGGGGAGGGCAGGACATGGGCAGGGATGAAGGTAAGAGGGGAAAGGAAGATCTGGGTAAAAGGGAATAAGGGAAAGGGAGCGGAATCGAGGCTAAGGTAAGGCCCCAGTTAAGGGAGTAAGGGAAAGGGTAGGGGAGGAGGAGACAGGGAGGGGGGGAGGGGCATGATACAGTGCGTTAGTCGGTCCTTGCGCGTGAATGAAGTTAAATCGGTTTTAGAAAATTTAATTAACTACGGTTCTCTGTATTGCTGGCGTCACTGTTATCGTCCTTGTTGTTGTTGTTGTTTTGTGTTTAATTTGATTTTTTATTCTTTTTCTTCTTTTTTTTTTCAATGGGACGACTTCATTTCGAAGAGAAAAAGAAAATGAAAAATATCTGAAATGAGAACGAATCACGAGTGGCATACTTAAGTCATAATCTTAGCATAAGGGATTGTAAGATTTTAAAGCAATAAGTAGAATAAATTAGATAAATTACAGAGATAAATAATAAACCAGGATAAAAGCATAATGAAACCCACATACCGCAATTAATTTGACTTATAGTACTAATATACTACACAGTGACAAACAATACTTTTTTTCGAGTTTTCGACAGTGCCATTACTGATATAATTAGTCGTGTCTTAATATATGCAAAGTGGCATCGTTAGCTGTATTAAATGGAGTGAATTTCAAAGCGGAGAGTATTTTGGGATTTCCAGCGACGCCGCAGTACCTCATTCATTCGGGATTCCTTATCTCTATTCATTGATTTCCGAGAGATAATGTGCACGCGAGGTTGTTGAATACCTGCGGGCGGGGACGGAATACAAAGGCCTTTCGCTCCTGCAGGGTTGCCTGTCCGAGCGGCTTTGTTGGGCGGCCTCGGGGCGTCGGTATTGGCGGGCGTGGCTGGCGTCCGGGCGGCTCTGTCTAGTTTTTTTTTCTATTTTTAGAATTCGGTCTTTATTTCTCTCTTCTCTTTTCTTTTCTTCTCTTCTCTTTTCTTCTCTCTTCTCTCTTCTCTCTTCTTTCTTCTCACTCACTCACTCACTCACTCTCTTCTCTCTCTCTCTCTCTCTCTCTCTCTCTCTCTCTCTCTCTCTCTCTCTCTCTCTCTCTCTCTCTCTCTCTCTCTCTCTCTCTCTCTCTCTCTCTCATTCTCTCTCTCATTCTCTCTCTCATTCTCTCTCTTATTCTCTCTCTCTCTCTCTCTCTCTCTCTCTCTCTTTCTTTCTTTCTCTTTCTCTCTCTCTCTCATTCTCTCTCTCTCTCTCTCTCTCTCTCTCTCTCTCTCTCTCTCTCTCTCTCTCTCTCTATATATATATATATATATATATATATATATATATATATATATATATATATATATATATATATATGTATATATATATATATATATATATATATATATATATATATATATATATACATATATATATACATATATATATGTATATATATATATATATATATATATATATATATATATATATATATATATATATATATATATATACATATATATATACATATATATATGTATATATATATATATATATATATATATATATATATATATATATACATATATATATATATCTCCTTCTTTTTCCCATTTTTATTTCTTCTTGCACCTTCTGAACATACGCAGGCAAGGGCGTACGCATCCCCCCCCCCCACGCACATAAACTTGCGTGCAGTGTGCGTGTGTATACAGGCATAAGTTATTTTCAGTCCCTTTGTAAACCCACACATATCAGTTTACACATAATTATGTCCCATATTAACTGCCGAACAACCAGTCCGTCATCTAAAAGTCTTAAAATCCGCTCGCTCATTATTCCTCACAAAATACTCGCGCCACTCGAGGAAATGCTCATTCAAAAAAAAAATAGAAATAGAAAAAATAAGAAGAAATTAAAAAAAAAAAATAGTCAAGAAATTTAAATGATATTGCCGGAGCTAAAAGTCATGAAGTCTGCGATAACTCAACGGCCTTTTGCCTGGTGACGTCAGATCGGGCGAGCGAGATCTTGCGAGATTTTTCGTTTCGCAAAAAAAAAAAAAAATCGGGTTGGGGGTTCTTTGTCCCGACTCGTTTCCTCGTTCTCGCGGTCTCTCTCTCTCTCTTTCTCTCTTTCTCTTTCTCTCTTTCTCTCCTCTCTCATTCTCTCTTTCTCTCTTCTCTCATCTTCTCTTCTCTCTCTTCTCTTCTCTCTCTCTCTTCTCTCCCCCTTTCTCCCTTTCTATTTTCATTTTCTCTCCTTGTCCCTTCCCTTTTTCCTCCATCTCTCTATCTTTCTATCTATCTATCTCTATCTCTATCTCTAACTCTTTCTTGCTTCTTTCTCTTCTTCTTTCTTTTCTCACTCCCTTTTGAAAAATGGTAAAAGAGTAAACAAAATATTGTTTTTGTTTGAAACATTTTCGATTGTGTGTATATAGTGTTTTTTATATTCATTTCAACAGCAATTAAACATTAATGTGAGGTTACATAAGAGTACACAACTAGCATTTATCTCTGAAATGTGATTAATAATTCATCCTCCACTCTGCATTTGCAATAGAATACGATGAATTCAGCCACCGATCTACATCTTCAATTAAATATAAGGAAATCTGCATCTTATGTCTACTGCGATGAATTCAGCCACCGATCTATTTCTTCAATTAAATATAAGGAAATCTGCATCTTATGTCTACTGCGATGAATTCAGCCACCGATCTATTTCTTCAATTAAATATAAGAAAATCTGCATGGGCCACCAGTTGCGAACGACTAGCTTTGGTCTCTCATATCAGCCTGGACTCTTCTTTTTTATCGTGTCCTCTGAAGATTGAGGAATGGGAGGAAAGAAAAGTTCTTGTTTTTTCTCTTTTTTTCGTTTTTTTTATGGTGGGGGCATTGGGACGGGAGGGGAGGGGGAGGGTGTTTGTTGTATGTGTGTAATGAGGTTGTTTATAAATGGGTATACTTTGTGTTATGTGCATGTTATTTTAATTCTGGAATTTGTGAGAAGTCTTGGTTATTTTTTCTCTGTGTTATATAATGTATTTTCCCCGCTGTCCGTTTTCACACCGCGCATTCACTTTCAGTATATTTTTCTTTCCCCTTCTTTCTCTGTTCATCGATTTATCTGTCTGTCCGTCTGTCTGTGTGTGTGTCTCCGTCACTCTGTCTATCTATCTACCTATCTCTTCCCCATGCCATTTATTTACTTCTTTCTCTCTCCACCTCTCTCTCTCTCTCTCTCTCTCTCTCTCTCTCTCTCTCTCTCTCTCTCTCTCTCTCTCTCTCTCTCTCTCTCTCTCTCTCTCTCTTTCTCTCTCTCTCCTCCTCCTCCTCCTCCTCCTCCTCCTCCTCCTCTTCTTCCTCCTCTTTATTCCAAAACCATATATTTACCTCCATATCTCGCTATCTCTTCTCCCACTCTCTCTCTCTCTCTCTCTCTCTCTCTCTCTCTCTCTCTCTCTCTCTCTCTCTCTCTCTCTCTCTCTCTCTCTCTCTCTCTCCCTCCCTCCCTCCCTCCCTCTCTCTCTATTTCTTCCCCACGCCCCATATTTATCTCCACCTCTCACCATCTCACCTTTTCTCTCCCTCTCTCTCTCCCCCCACAGGGTTTGTCCGAAAGGCTGGAGCTGCCTGCCCGACGTGGGAGACAATCCCAACTTCGGCTACACCAGCTTTGACAACTTCCTGTGGTCCATGTTGACTACTTTTCAGCTCATCACTCTCGATTTCTGGGAGGACGTGTATAATAAGGTAAGGTGGCGAAGGTCGTGGTGAGGATGGTGTGTAATAGTGTAATAGTGTGATGGTTAGTTGGGTGTGTGGTGAGTAAAGGTGATGATGATAAGGGTGGGTGAGTGATTGGGGTGGGAGTAAGGGATTTGATAAAGATAGCATTGTTGATAATGGTAGTGATAATGTAGTTAATATATAATGATAATCTTCTTTATTATCATGTATAATAGTTATGATGATGGTGATAGTAGTAATGATGATGATGGTAATGATGATAATAGTAATAGTGATGATGATAATGATGATGATAGTAA